ATCCAGAATAACAGTGTTTTTCTCCCACCACCCGTGTAAAAATCCTCCGCCGAATTACCTACTGTTTTTTATTTATTTATTTTTTTAATACAAACCAAGGTTGTGTGGTAAAGTAATTGCCGTTCGAATCCACATCTCTTAGTTTACAAGAAGAAATCGGTGCAAAATTCACTGTTTAAATCGTTTTTGACCACTGCCGAACACCATACGTTAACTGTTGCACTTTTCTGTAATTTGCAAGCATATTTATTACTGAAATAATGGGGGAAGTATTTACAAGACCAATATTTCGTAACTGCTTCACCACCGCTAGTGGGAGCTGTTAAGAACAAAAAGAAGAAAGCACGTGAACATTTAAAATGGGTCATTATTATGGCAGCGATTATATACATAAAAATATAAACCGAGCAGCTTTGTAAAGTTTATCTTATGTAAATAAGAGGTTGCATTAACTTATTTCTCCTAATCTCAACATTTTTAATGACATTCATCATTTTGCAAAACCATTTCAAATGCGTCTATTTTCCTATTTTTGAACAGGCAATTTAAATGATCAAATAATAAAAAATTATATTGTTGTCCTATTATTCAATTAAATATGAATTTATTCTTCTTATTCCAAGCCTATGGCATTTTATTTACAGCAGACAATCATGCGACTGACCACAAGAGCAGCGCATTCCCGGGTTTGTAGGATCCCAGAACTCACTTCTCCACTGTGAATAAATTGAGATCCGAATCCATGAGTTTTATCACTGAGGTGCCATGTAAATGTATTTTTACAGACGTTTTTTTACAGAAAAAGTTACCATCCGAATAGAGCTATAGTCTTGTTTTGAGTCACCTGACCATTATTCTAAATACTACTACTAGTTCCTTTCAGTTAATAAGGTAGACCTACTGGGTTAATATGACATAATGTAAATAATATTACCGTATTGACCCGAATATAAGGCAATGTTTTTTTTCTTGGAAATACATCTTGACAAAATGCGGTCATCTTATATTCGGGGTCTAGACTTTGACATGTCAATAATACACCCACAACAATAGGGGGTGCCAAATACGCATAAAACGAGTGTGCTATGAAATACATAATGTAATGCGTGTTGATCGCGAGTAAAAACAAAAGAAAACCTTACAGCTGCATGCGTCGTGACTGTCAGGTTAGCCTGATGGGACCAAACTCCCTTTGTGATTTTAAAACGTAAGACAGTACCCAGATTTGAAGTCTACAGTATGATTTAACTTCTACTGTTAATAAGATTTTGGTAGGCTACTATTAGATGGCAAGCCTAAATGTCCTAATTCAGATGGGCTTTATTTTTTTTAATGGTATATCAAAAAGTGTATATTTTTTAAATGTGATTGTTAGTACATTTGACCAGTTTTTACCATACTTTCAAAACAAAAATTAAAATAGGAAAAATATTCAATATGAAAATAATTGAAGACAAAATGTGTTTTACTGAGAAAAAACAAGATTTGGTTTTTAAAAAGCCTTTTTCCAAAAGGTACATCTGGAAAAAGGGGGGTCGTCTTATAATCAGGGTCGTCTTATATTCGGGCCAATACGGTAATGAGCAAAGCCTTTCTAGTTAGAGTTTTACCAATATATTTTTGTTCATCAGATGTTCATAAGGTCATCAGTGAAGGCTGTAAGGTGAACTGAAAATATAAATCTGACCATTATCTAATGTCCTTTTGTATCTATACATTTTTAAGTGTAGCTCATGTTTCTGATGTAATTTTATATTCTGTTTTGATGGCTAAAATTGTGACCGTAACATTTCAGATTTTTTTTTAAAAAGCTGGCACTGTGTCCCATTTTTTTAACTTGATTTTTAACTT